GTAAACCAGACCATATATGGCAACAGTTGCAGTTGTCCAAAATGGCATCTCGCACTTGACTTGAGATGACAACGGCAATTGAGCAACCATGTCAACTGCAGTTAAACGGACATTGAAGAGGGTCCGGACCACGACAACTGTGGGGACGCGTGCTGACTGTCACGCGGGGCGTGCCGGACCGTGAGGTAGGTGACTGAGAGAGGTTGTGTGGCTGTTATCCATTTTGCCCACACGTAGGCGGGTAAGAGGGATCGCAAGAAAAAAAAGACGTGTGTGCGCAAGTTGTTTTGCCCACACGTAAGCGTGTAGGCTGGTCCTTTTAGACACCACAGAAAACGTGTGACCAGACCCCTTAACGTCCACACGTGTGGCAGTTATCGTCGCTCATAATGTTTTTGTTTTCGCATCGTGTTCCACTACCCCGAATACGTGGATAATGGTTACTAATGCAACGTGTAACTTAGTACGCCAACGACGTAATCCTGAAAATTATTTTTTACTGCGCACCAGACCGAGAAGAGCAGAGGCAACTTCGCCGTTCACAACGAAGCAAACACAACTTGGCTTACCCTCTCTCAAAAGTCCAAATTGTCACCAACTTTTTATTAAGCGCGCGTCGCTCTCACTGGCTCATGTCGACCCGGCAATGCACGCTATCATCAGCTCGAGAAGAGTAAACAAAAATATCAGGTCGACCACGTAGGAAGGAAGCGACGAACCCGCAGCGCCATTTCCTGCGTCCGTCGCGTCGGCACGTGCCGGTTCGCCGCGATGAGTGACGGCGCCCAAAAGCCACCGAATCTTTGACAAAACCCGCGCCGTTGGGCAAGTTTTACCCGCCTGCCCCTGCCCCGTCTCCCTTTAAATACGGGCCCTGGCCTCCCTCGTTCCCCCACACCACCAAAGCCCACCCAGCCTCAAACGCCCACGTTGGAGCAGTAGCAGCAGCACAGAGCCGGAGCCCTCCAGCCGTCCGATCGTCCGACACAGACAGATCCGATGGCCCTCGCTCTCTCCGGCTCCGCTGCTGCCCGCGCGCTCGCCCAGCGGCTGGCCCCAGCCACCGCCAGGGGCTACGCGGCGGCGGCCTCCTCCGGGGCGATGAGGCGCGGCGCCGCGGCGACCGCGGACGGAAAGGCGGCCAGGGAGGCTGAGAAGGCCGCGGCCGACGCCTCGTGGGTGCCCGACCCCGTCACCGGCCACTACCGCCCCGCCAACCGCGCCGCCGGCGCCGACCCCGCCGACCTCCGCGCCGCGCACCTCGGACAGACCTACGCACGGGCTTGAAGCCCCGCTCGACGACCCTCCTGGCCCCGCCATGGAAGGAAAACTGCTATGCTAGGTAACGAGGGAAGAGGCAGGCGGCGCTCGTTCGCCGAGCGCTGCGCGCGACGCGGCTTAACGACGGATCATCATCATGATCGATCCTATACTACTGGGGAGGTGCGGGTTGGATGTTTCCCATTGTGTGCGTGCGTTCGTCTGGGCTTGGATGCCCTGCTATAGTGTTGGTGTGCTCAGATCAGATGTATCTCTCGTCGAGCAGGGCTTGTACCTTTTACTTTTATTTACAGCTAGTAATAATAACGAAAGAATCCAGCGTTTTCTTTGTTCTAAACATACTCCTTGCTGTTTGAATCATTCTTCTGATTATCTTCCAAATGAAGCCCCAGTACAGGGTCATGGCAGCCACCAATACAAGCTCGAGCCACCGTACCGCGACCCGTGCTTGTACGGGCACGCCACAGAAATGTGTCACTGGCGTCTGACGACGCGCGATGTCAGTGTGCCACTCACACAAGATCTTTTGTATTAGGCCAACTCCACCGCGGAATCCCAAACGGACATCCGTTTTGTTCGAATTCTTTCATTTTGGATAGGGCAATGGGGTCGTATCCGGCCCTGTCCTGGGATGCGGTGGCTGTCCGCCCATCCTTTTGCCTCATCTCGTCCGCCAAGGCCTAAAATGCCCATATTTTCATACGAAAACAAGTTTGCACGTTCAAATATTAATTGTCTGAAAATTAAAATAGTTTTACAACCCAATCGAAATTGTCTCTAATAAAGATAGTTCTACAACCAAATCGAAATTATTTTGAATGAACATAAAACGAACCAATACATCTATCGGTTGTCAATATACTCCCAGACGTGCTCAACCAAGTCATTTTAAAGAGCCTTATGAGTGTGCTAATCACGCAGCTCACGATGGAACTGGCCGAACTGATCAAACGTGGTCGGTTCTTGATGCAGGGGCTCAACATTGTCGCCTTGATAGTCAAATCCTTGGTCGAAGATACTGTCATCACGCTCGTCCCCGACGATCATGTTGTGCATGATCACACAAGCAGTCATCACCTCCCAAAGCTTTCTTTCATCCCATGACAGTGCAGGGTATCGAACGATGCCCCATCGGGATTGAAGCACATCAAAAGCACGTTCCACATCCTTTCTAGTACTCTCTTGCATTTGGGCAAATCTCTTTCTCTTCTCACCTTGGGGCTTCGAGATTGTCTTCACAAAACTTGACCACTGAGGATATATACCATCAGCTAGATAGTATCCTTTGTTGTACTGGTGGCCATTGACCTCAAAGTTGACAGGTGAGGAGCGGCCTTCTGCAAGCCTCGCGAAGACTGGAGAACGTTGCAGCATGTTGATATCATTGTGAGAACCTGCCATACCGAAGAAAGAATGCCATATCCAGAGATCCTGCAATGCCACAACTTCTAATATGACAGTGCACTCGCTGACATGCCCCTTGTACTGGCCCTGCCAAGCAAATGGACTGTTCTTCCACTCCCAGTGCATACAATTTATGCCGTCAAGCATACCTGGAAGGCCTCTAGCTGCGTTGGTCGCCAACAATCTCTCTGTATCAGCGGCAGTTGGCTACCTCAAGTACTCTGGGTCAAACACCTCGATCACAGCTTGGCAGAACTTGTACATTGACATCAGACATGTTGTCTCGCTCATACGCACGTACTCATCCACCAGATCGCCTGGAATTCCATAGGCAAGCATGCGGACGGCCGCGGTGCATTTCTGGTAAGAGGAGAACCCAAACTTGCCAAGGGCATCCGTCTTGCACTCGAAGTATGGGTCATGAGCAACCACTCCCTCTCAAATACGATTGAACACATGCCTTGCCATTCGAAAACGGCGACGGAATTTATCCGGCTTGAAGAGCGGTTTGTTGGAAAGGTAATCGGCATAGAGCAGGGCGTGGCCTCTCTTCCTGTTGCGGTTCAGGATGGGAGCACGGCCAGGGACTGACCCCCTATACCGAGGAAGCTGCCGTTGAATGTGGTCGTGAACGACAAGTGCAGCCACCACAAGATCTTCATCATCCGACGACGAATTGTCCGATGAACAAAGGAAGTGGTGGAAGAAGAACTCGTCTCCACTGTCCATACCTTTGTGGGCAAAATGTCGAACACCTTGCGGTCGTGGTGGCGAAGAGGCCACGATGATCACCTCGACGCAGCAGGGGTGGTTGCCGGCTGGCTACTAGCCGCTCTGGAGCCGTCGGAAGCTGCCGCGGCCGCCGGCGGTCGTGTCTCCTCTGCCACCGGCAAAGACGGCAACGGCCAAACCTCCTTCGATCGACGGCCAAAACTACGACGAAAGCGCGGGCGTGGTGGCGGCCATGTCTACACGTGGTTTGGTATGGACGGTCGGGGGCTGCGTGGTGTGGAGGCGGCCGGAGAATAGCGGCGGCGCCGGCGGCGGGGCGTGGCAGGAGAGGGAGGGTTGAAGCGTTGGGAGGGAGGGACTGCTGGTGTCCCCAACAGGAGGGCCACAGGGGGGACAAGGGCGTGCGTTGCGGCCGTCCGCGCGCGTCCGTTTCACCCCAAACCGAGCATAACTTTGGGCCGGGGATGGGTCGAAAACGGACGGATTCCGGATATTTGTCCGTTTGAGACCGCGCGTTGGGCCGCGCTATTCGTCCGTTTTACCCCAAACGGACGTACCCGAACAAGATGGGGTCGCGCGGTGGAGTTGGCATTAATTCGACGTCGCTGGTCATATCAGATCGATCATCGTTATTACAGCCAATTGATGGCACGTGACACGTCGGCTGCGCATGCGTAGGTTAATTATACAGGTCGCGCGGCGTCGTCGCTGTCCGTGAACACTTTTTCTCGCTGCCCGGGCGGCATGGAATCACGTCGCTCCGATCGGACGGGCGTCGCCTTGCACTCACGACGGCGGCCGGAAAGGAAAACATCGCATCTCACCGCACCGGCCGCACGTCCACGTCACGGGCTCGAGTGCGCTTACTCATCTGTAAACTTTGTATATAATGGCAAAAACGTCTCAGAGTTACTGCGTCAAATCGATTGATCCTTCTCCAGTTCACATTCAGTACATCTGACCAGAAAACAGCGACAAGGATTATCCTCCGCGTGGAGAACCCAATTCACGAGAAGATGGACAGTGCTCATATGATGGCTATCAGCAACCTAGATCGACTAGATCGTGCACCGGAAACAGCCAAAAACCTCGAATCCCAGCAGCGTGCCAGCTGCTCCCCGGGTGTATAGTCTAACCATATGACACACACCTAGTGCACGTTATATACTATACCAATAAAATGCAAATTCTGAATTTGATCATCCCATGAGGCCAAGACACTTAGCAACTACTCCCTCAGTTGGGAATTACTTGTGGATAAAAATGGATGTATCTACAACTAAAATACATCTAGATACATTCATTTCTTGGACGAGTAATTCCGAACAGAGGGAGTAGTCAGTAGATCAGACAGTTTTTCGTACATCGTTGATGATGACTTTTCGTCCAAATTCTTGGCAATATTACAACGAGACAATGTCAACAAGACCTAGCTGCATCAAGCAAAAGAGAGACACGATCTAAAATCTCACACCAACATGTAGGCTCTTCCAAATTTCTGATCTCCAGTCTCGTGGCAGACGCGGATGAAAGAGGGGCACACAGGAGCTCGCCACAGGGGAGAGAGGGATCAGATTCACCCATCACCCAGACTTGAATAGCAAGACAGCTTTAGAATCAATGTAGAAATACACAAAGTAGTTCGTCTCGTGCGTCACGTAGGAACCTGCAAAAGCCATAAAAAATAATTACCAACATTGCTTGCACTCATATGTATCTCGTGCCTATAGCAATGCCCAGCTTTCGGCATTTGAAGTTCTCAAAAGGATCACTTAGGCAAACAAGCAACCAGGTATGGGGTCAGTAGCTTATGGTTCAGGATCAGCAAATGAAACTCAAGACATTAAGTAACAAAATACACCACTAACCTCTTATGTCTTAACTGCACAGTGTGGGAATGAAAATGGGAGGCAAATGGAGAATATCAGTTTAAGTTATTACGTATCTTCTAATGTTTTAGCAGTTGGCTGTTTCAACATAATGACAAGTAATAGCTGACTCCAATCTCCCTACACCACCCAAGGGAACAGCTTAAGAAAGGAAATGTGATTATGTTCCCATCGTTTATCAGCTCGTTTTTTGCATTCCAAGCAAATGCAGTTCACTATAATCATACACAACCAATCATACCGAAGGGTTTTCTTTGGATGTTTTTAACCTTAGCTCATGGGCCACATAAACTAAAGCACCTGGATGGTTTAACAAACCAAAACAAAATTATAACTCCAGTAGGACTGAGAAAATATTGAGGATCCTCTGACTGGTTTGAGAAGATGACACCACCCCAAGCAGATCCACAAAAGCAAAGCAAGACAAGACAACACACAAGCAAAATCCTAGGAATTAAACAAATAAACACCAAAAATGGGCTAAAGAGAATATACTATGAGCAATTCGCCCAATCATACTTAGATTGACTGATAAAATTTGCGAATCAAAACCTTTCTACACTTTCTACAAGACTTTGAGAAGCGAAGGTAAGCTTTCTCTAGCATCTGTACAGTCAACTAGAGAGCCCTAATATTAACAAAGTCTGTTCTTTCACTTTAGAATTTAGTTTTTGGGACAGAATCATCAATATGACATGGAACCACGAGATCATCTAAAGGTCATGAGATGTGTGGTTTAACAGCTAGCATTGTGTCAAATGGAGCACCATAACTGATTTAAAAGAGTATTAGATATTCACGACACTAAGTTCTCAAAGCCATTGCCAGACTAAAACTGCAAGTTTTCACGACTACACTTTATCATGTATTTCTTGCCAAACTAATGTAAAGTCAGTCCAACAAAATAGGCACCAGTGCCACACTTCGGCATGCCTAAGGCAACCTTGCAACGCTTCTTCTTACTCAGTGACGTATGGAGACAACTATCAGAAAATGGATCTTGCCTAAGGTGTGGTCACAATTCACAAACCAAACACCCGTCTACCGTGATCAAACCAGCCTCACTCGAATGGTGGCGAACTGAGGCAACCATAGTGGCCAGTCAAATAGGCCAACTCCTTTCAGGGTGAGGAGCGTAACAAGTAAAAGAAAATTTGACGTGTTGCTAAAGTTCAGACTAACAAATGTGAAGAAAATAATATTATATTACAAAGAAAAACATTGGTTTGCAACGAGATGCGGAATTCCGATAATCATATTGAGTACAAATGAGACGACTCTCTTGTCATGGGCCTAAAGGCTATCATTGTTGTTTGCTCAGTGCCAGGCTGCCAGATAAAGAAAAAAAAGCTCATGCATATCGACCATACGTGTGATAACTTATTGATTATCTGTATTCCTGATGCGACTTTCTACTGTAAAATGATCTGGCTTGCAAATAAATATAGTCAACAAACTCTAAGAAATCTGGTGAAATGAAACGATTACCTCAAGTAAGATAACCCTTTTTTGTACAGGACGGAGTAGAAAATGTGTAATTAACAGTAACATGCAATTGTCTGTACACACAAAGGCATTTGATTAATCTGTTGTTCTTCTAGAACCACTTCACCATTCGGATGAGCTAATTGCATTAGAGGTCCCAAAACTTTCTTTCAGCCTAATTTTAACTGTGAAAGTTTTAATAATGGGAAGTTGAAAACAAATGATATGGTGCATTATGTAAACCTCTAAGATGACACGGCCCATGTGGCATGGCATTACCAAGTCAGTTGAGAAATCTACATAACATGCCATATCAGTTTTCCATGCATCTCATTATAAGATCAATATACAAGGACCGAAGTGCAATTTACTCTACTCCCTCTCTCTCAGTTTACAGGGCGTGCGCGTACCCCTAGGTCGTTAATTTGACCAACCTAATACAAGTCATATATTACAAAAAGTATACCAATATAAACTTCAGTTGTTCTACTTTCAAACAGTATATTTTTTGTGCTATATAGTTTATATTAGGGTGATAAAATTAGCAACCTAGGTATACGCGTAGGACTTGTAAACTGAAACAGAGGGAGTATTTAGCTTTGTACAAGAAAGACTGAAACATAAATTCCAGATTTCTTAGCTGAAAATACAACACACTGAGTTATAGTTACGGAAAGTTGGATGTGGTTGATACCAGAGAGAACCTGAGCAAATACTGACATCGGTAGAAAAATTAACATCCAAACAATGAGCCCTGTGAGCAAGGAATCACACTACATTAGCGCATCCTATTTCCTAAGTGCCAACTTGCTTTTGCGTTAACCTAACAGCCATCAGATAATTTATCCTTACGGCCCTTCTAAGTACTTCTGAAATACATAAGGGTCACTTATGCAGTTAACTTAGCATTCTATTGCTCCAACTGACATCCACATAAATTATACCTCAGTCACTGTCCCCCTAGGAGATATATTCATCAATAGAAGTTTATGGTCGCCTCAGAAGAGAAGAAAATGGCCACGCACAAAGCCAAATCACCCCAAAGCACATCCACCACAGACGCATCCTCCGTACAACGCTATTTCGAAAAGGAATGGGGGAAGAGAGGGGATTACCGAAGTTGCGGCCGACGATGCAGTGCCAGGTGGGGCCGTGGTTCTTGTCGAACTCCTTCTTGATGTACTCCGCGATGTCCTTCTCCATGGTGTGCTTCTCGAACGCCTAGTATGCAGAACAAACGAACAAATAAATAAATTCCCCACACCAAACCCCAGCGGCCAGCCACGCTGGGACAGCGCGGCGGGACCAAATCGAGAATCCAATGTGCAGGGAGAAAGGGGATTACGACGCGGGAGATGTCGAACGCCTCCTTCTGCATCTCCTCCTTCATGTCGGCGCTCTTGAGCGTGATCTTGTGCGCCGTGGGGGACGCGGCGGCCGGCGGCGGGGAGCCGAGCGCGGCGGTGGCGGAGGCGGCGAGCCTGCGGTCGGCGTCGGCCGGGGCCCGCGGCGCGTAGGGCGCCGGGTGGGAGGCGGCGACGGCGGCGGCGCCCGCGATCCCGCGCTTGAGCTCGTCGGACATGGCTGCGAATCTCTGGCGTGGAAGGCAGTGTGGCTTGGCTTGTGGTGGAAGCAGTTGGATGGAGGAGCTCAGCGATTCCTTTCTCCACTCCGCCCTTTTCAAAGCCGACGGTGGCTGCTGCCGTGCTGCTTCATCATTGTACGGGAGGCCGGGCCTTCTAGCGGAAGCTACTAGAGGGGAAGCGGAATGCGCGGACAAGTCGCGGAGGTAAGGTAAGGGCGCTGATAGGCGCCGGTGCGCCGGCCCAAAGTTTCGGCCGGTCTAGCCCAGGCCGTTGGATGTGAGCCGCGCGGGTCGTTGGATCCAGGAAAAAAAAAAATGAATCGCCCCCGGCTTCTTCTTCCTCCCGCACGTACGCGTAAACGCAGAAAAAAAATGGATCTCCGCGGGTCAGCCTCCTCGTGCTCGCCCTTGGACGCCGCGTCGCAACTCACCGGGGCCGCTCGCCGTCGCAGCTCGCCGTCGCAGCTCGCCGGGGCTGCTCGCCGTCGCAGCTCACCTGGGGCATTCGCCGTATGCAGCTCCGTCGGGCCGGGCGTGTCTCCCTCCCTCTGGTTGCAGCACCGCCGGGTGAGGGTTCCAGCATTGTCGCAGTCCGCCATCATAGCTCGCCGCGTGCCCGTCGCAGCACCGCGCGCCCATGCAGCTCCGTCGCCGCCGCTCACCATTGTTAGCTAGCCGTTCTCGGTTTGAAGCTTTTTTAGAAGCGCGTTGTAGCTTTCCTCCAAGCCGGTTGCAGCTTTTTGTCGCTGCGAGATGCCGACCCCCAACTACCTCATATCCAGTTGAAGCATTTTTCAAGCTGGTTGTAGCTTTCGTGGCTACCGGATGTAGCATTTTTCAGCACTGGTTGCAGCTCTGACGTACATCCGTTGAAGCCCCTCCTTCTTTTGATTCCAACAAAAAATGTTGTTGGTTCCAGCTCTCGATTTGTAGGTTGTAGCAAAAACAAAAGCTGGTTCCAGCTCTGGGTTTTGCCGGGACAAAAATTATTTGCTGGAAAAGCATTGCTGGTCGCTGCTTCCGCCGGTTGCCGTGGTAGCAAAAAACGATGCTAGTTGTAGCAAAATCCTGCTACGGTTGCAGCAAAACATCGTTGTCGTCGTCGCGAGGGTCCGAGCTCCGCCTGATGGATGTAGCAAAAAGCTTCGCCGGTGGTAGCAAAATTCAACTATGGTTGCAGCTTCCCCCTTGTTGTGCAGTGCCATTGAAGCTTTCTATGTCTATGGTTGAAGCTTTTTTGAATGGCCGTTGAAGCTTTTTTAGGTGATGGTTGCAACACTTCTATACGCGGGGTGGATCCGGGCATGGCGGGCAGGCAGTTATGGTGGGCGGCGAGGGAGCGCCCTGGCCGCCGGCGATGGAGCTTGTGGTGGCCCAGTCGCTGCCCGGGAGGAGGAGGAGGGGAGGGGATGCGCGCCCTTGAAGGTTGTAGGTTAGGGATGGATCTGGCCATGGCAGCAGGCAGCCATGGCGGCCGGCGAGGGAGCGCCTGGCCGCCGGTGATGGAGTTCGTGGAGGCCCAGTCGCAGCTCGGGGGAGGGGAGGTGCACGCACGTAGGCTGAAGGTAGGGGATGAAGGCACGTAAGGAAGGAGGCGGGGATCGCGCGGGCGCGTTGCCAGCGTGGCGTGCGAACCGGCGGAACGGTTCGGCCGGTGCGCCGTTTGTAAACACTTCCCCGGAGGTAATGGGCTGCATACCTGAAGCACGCAGGGGTCAGCCCATACCCGAGTTACCCGTAGCTACCACTGTAGCATGTGATTTTTTTTGGGTTGTTCTACCACTCTTTTTTAGTTCATTGTTTTTGAGATAGCTCACCACTCATGTCAAGTGCCACACTTTCTTTTAGTTGTGAAGATTCGCAAAAAAAATAATTGTGAAGAATATTTGGAAGTGCAAACTTTTTAAAAAAATATACGGACATTTATTGGAAAACCCGAAGATTTTCTGAAATTGGGAACAAAATTTTAAAACACAAACAATTTTGAAAATCCAAACGTTTCATGAAATTGTGAATATTTTCTAAAAACACAATTTGCTTTTAGAAAATAGGCAAAAAAATGAAAACATGAACATTTTTTGAAATTTCTAAACAAAGGAAAAGGAAAATAAACTTGAAAAAGAAAAAAACAAAGAAAACCAGTGAACAACGCCAAGATCATCGACAATCTGCTTCCCAGACTGTTGATCGTAGTGTTAAAAAAAGGCGCTATTCTATAATGTGAAGACCCAAAAGATTTTCGTTGGGGCGTAAGCCTCTCAGCGACGCGCCTCATACCATGAGTTGGTCGCAAGATTTTATGGGTTTCACCTCTAGCCTACCCCAACTTGTTTGGGACTAAAGGCTTTGTTGTTGTTGTTGTTGTTGTATTCTATAATGTGAAGTTACTCGCAGTTCAACATGTTCATCAACTACTCATGAAACACCTAGCTACGCCAGAAACTAACAAATTTCCCTCTGCAGGTCAGCATTGGAACGGTTGAGTTGCAGAGGCAGCGGAGCCGTACATCCCTTTGAAGATTTTCACGGCAAAACTCAGCTGCCCTAGAGGCAGAGGTGTTTCAGACAACTGCTTCAACTAGCCTAAAAGTAAAACACAAGCCTTCAATGGAAGAGTTTACGTTATTTTTGCAATATTTTTTGTAAGTTTGAAGTTGAACTTAATTTAACAAGTAAAGCAATTCTATTTGCCCACAATAATAGGAAATTTGTCCCTGCCAATATTCTTCCCATATGTTTGTCCACTACCTCAGTATGAACCTAACCAAAAGAAAAAAGAGGTCCAAAAGACAGGCCCGAATAAAGAAGAAACGGTAATCTGGTGGGTTTTTTCTACCGGTTTCAGCTGCTAAGATTTCACTGCTGCCCACAGGTTACACTTTGACCCTCTGCATAGAAACAGGAGGACACGAGAGTTCACAGAAATTCTTCTGTGACAATCAGACCATGGTTTTATTTAGAGATAATTCAGTATCATGGCATGTGTAATCGACAACTTATAAGTACATAAACAGCACCGAAACAAGTAGGTTCGCCAAGACTCTCTTGATATAATCAGAACTTGCTGAAGAACTCGCAGATGTAATCTGAAACCTCATTAGGCTTCTCCTGGTTGCAGAAGTGACTCACTCCCTCCATGACAACCACATCCTCCAGATTCGGCACGCTCGCTTTCAAGCCACCCTTGTGAATGTAGTCTTTCACTCCCGGTACATTGTATGTAACGTCAAGGTCCCCAACGATGAATTTTGTTGCTACTTTTATTGGTTCTCCAGTCCATGGTGCAGAAAGCTCCCAATTCCTGCATGAACACGCAAGTAAGTTGAGCCAGATCTAATGCATGCGTTAACTCTGGTGAAATGATTTCACCCATAAAACTTATGAACTGAAGTTGGCGCAATCAGATATGTAGTTCAGACATACGTATATACTCCCTCCGTTCCAAAATTGATGACCCAGGTTTATACTAACTTTAGTACAAAGTTAGTACAAAGTTAGTAAAACCAAGACAGTGAGAATGGGACGTAGGTGACATACAAGTCCATGCATCTGTAGTAGTTAAGCCCTCCTGTAAACCCTGTCTTCTCAAATTTGTCTGCATAGTAGGAAATATCTTCTTCAGACAACCATGGAGGGCAAGTACCATCCGAATCTAGTGAGTCAAAGAAGGTCTTGTCCTTGGGTAGAATAGGAGGAGCTGGTTTGCGCATTCCAAAGACCGTCTTAAACTTATGACTATTGTCGTATAGAGCAAATTCAGCTTCAGCGACTCCAGGCTCCTGCATGCATAATTCAGTAATGCATATGAACGACTGTTTCCGACAAACCAAATCTGAAGCGATGTTGGTGCAGACGAAAACTGTATCTAAGAATAAGCAATTAAACAGCAATATCTAGTACTGTGTCAGGAGATACTTTTAAACCTGAGTCTGCAGGTAGGAATTGTTGAAGTCCTATAGAAGGACAGACCCAGTGCATAGAAGCTCCCACACAAGGTGGGGTCTGGGGAGGGATTATAGGAACCTAGTCTTACCCCTGCAAAGTGCAATGCAGAGAGGCTGGTTCGAACCCAGGACCTCTTGGCACAAGTGGGGAGGACTTCACCACTGCGCCAGGCCTGCCCTCGAATTGTTGAAGTCCTATACTCGAAAAAAAATTCCAGGCGATGACAAGATAGACAACTATAATCTGTCAGTCAGTTGAATGTTTTTAAGGCTAACTGTAATCACTGTAATACTCCGTATTGTTATTTACAGCTCTGCAAAAGGGATGTTGTGTGTTCCCTGAATTTTTTTTGTGCTTGTTATAGAGATGTTTTCCCATATACTTACGGATACACGTTCAATTCCTTGTGTTGCTACAAATCAAAATGGATTAAAACAAGACCAAATCATCTACATCTGCTCACATATCAGGCATTTGTCATGTCAAACATGTGATGTGGCCTGAAAGTGAGCAGACCGCCATCACCGAGTGAAATCTTTATAAGAGTAAAGATAAAGATCCGTGTTGTTGTTTGCGAAGCATGGTGTCTTTCAAGAAAATGCTTTTACTTGGAGCCTTGCACACTCCATATCTTGAAAATGTGATACTGTAATTTTTGGGTTTCAACAAAAGCACAATGTCAATAAGAACTAAAGTTTGTTACTGAAGATTTATAGTACTTAAGGTACTCGGGTTCTTAACCTTATAAGGACATAGGTGTAATTGCATAGCAAATAAAGCTTCAACAAGTAAATTTGGCATATTTCAAGAAACAATGGTTTTACCTACTATGTATCTCAGGAATGCGATAATGTTTAAGTTACCAGCTTCAAAAAAGACAATACAAAGTATCAAATTTCAATTGAACCAATAACTCAATTTCCTTAGTGAAAAACACTACTCAACCTCCAATCCAATATACCGATATTTCTTGTTTATTATCATTTCTCCATTGTTATCTATCTGGAATTCCGAAGTTCGAATAATCTAGTTTGGTTAGATCCCTTGGTAAG